TGTGCATAGTTCTCTGAAAGCGTCAGCCCAGTGGTCAGCAGCAGGCAAAGAGGCAAATATGCTGTTAGGAATTATTAAGATGGGAATTGAAAACAAAGTGAAAAATGTGCTCCCAAATTAGAATGCCCTGTGCTTCAAAATGCTGCGAGCACTAAAGAAAGAGGGACAGGCAACGGATCAGGCTGGATGTTCTTACGTCATTCATTACTATAGTGCCCAAGTGCTTCACGCACATGAATTCATTTCTCTTCACAATAGCCTTGGGAGATGAGGGGTATTATCATCCCCACAGAGTAGCACAGTGTTAAGAATATAATTGTACCCCAATTTGGGGTGCCCAATATAGAACAAGAAAAGCTTCTTTTTCAGAGTATTTGGCATCCTGTAGCATTTGATATGTTCAAACCCCAGTTCCCTTTTACTTTGGTTGCTGCTCTCTACAGTTCTGCATATCAGATCCCAAAGACTGAACACAGAAAGTAAGGAACACGCAAGCAGTGATTGTGAAAAGTTTGATTGAAGTGATTTGCTTATGATGACACAGGCTCTGAGACAGCGACAGGGATAGAAGTCTCCGGGGCAGCATTCCTTTGCCTGAGGCACAAGACCATTATTTTTCTTTCTGCAATCCTTGGATTCATTCAACATGTACCTTCCAATTTCTGCACTTCCAAAACTATGTGATCTTGTGATCAAACACTGTATCCTAATGCTTATCACAAAGGGCTAAGTTAAAAGCTGTAGAGGCATCATTAGTACTAGTGTTTCTTAACTTCTGATTTTGCAACTTTAGTGACATTCTTTTAACATGCATGGCTTTTGCATTTCATTTTCTTTGTTTCAGTTCGCTTAAAGAAAAAAAACCCACAGAAATTCCATCAGGTTTCTCAATGTTTTCCCCCTGTATGGGTTCTTCGAAATTAATGAATCATTTTAGTTGAAATTTAATGGATGCAAATACTCAGCAGGGTAAATTTTAGCCTGGACAGTTAATAACTCAAAATGGGGTCTTATAATGAGAAGTGTCAGCAACCTTAAAATAAACAGTGCTAATATCCCTGCTGTGAAGTCTTTTTTATTGCTTCTCCTCTACTTGTCAACCTGAACTGGTTTATAACTCTTCACCCAAATCAATAAAATAATCAGTTATGTGAATCAGGCCTATCACTGATTCAACTCAGACAAATTCAGGTGAAATTATTCTATAGCGGTCCCCCCCATTAAGAAAATAAGAGGCACTTGCATTGACGTCAGTGGTAATTATTTGTACTCTTCTATGGCAAGCTATGACCCCAGGAAAATTTTGTCTACACAAAGACAGCATTTCCTAAGGCAAACTGGGTCATTTATATTGCAAAGTACTCATTTCTGAAACTCTAGGCTTATTTCGGACTCATAAGTCTGCCTTCTTAATTTTTAGTTTAGTAGATTTTACTGCACAACAGTAAAATATTTCTTTAACTTTAAGTTGGTGTTTTTGAATGTTACTCCAAAGCCTGATTCTAGCAGTTCCAGTGAAAGGACATGAAGCAGATCATTAATAGCTGCACCATAAATGTGCATACTAATACTGGGCAACAAACAGGTGCTGCTCTTCATGGACTTGCAGTGACTTGACAGACTCGAAACAAAACACAGACTGAGCAGCAAACTTTATTGTTTTGTTTTGTAAACTATTACATGAAAGTCAATTGTTCATTTAGATCATCCTTATGTTTTCCTTCACAGCTACTCCCTAAGAAATGATACATTGAACTGGTTTTCTATTGATGAGTATTCTGGAGAGGTTAAAGTTATGCAGGTTTTGGACAGAGAGACTGTGAAGGACATTTACTTGATGCAGGTTGTAGTTCAGGACAAAGGTAAGAATGTCTTTGTTGGCTTTGGATGAAAGTTTTTCCCCCCTCAGAGGTGGAAGGAAAACAAAAAAAAAGAGTGGGTCAAAAAAAAGAGTGGGCCAAATTCAGAGGTCCCTTTCCCTTCTCATGTCCTTGTGACAAGGTATTTGGCAAAATTCACAGATCTGTTGGAATCTGACATGGCCACACCATGACTGCTTCTGCTGCAGCCTCAAATTTGCAACCTCTGGCCTGTCAATCACATGCATCACTGACCACACCATCCCAGTGCCATTACCAATTCAGGGGTGATGCCTATGGATTTACATGGTACACTGATAAATGAGTATGGGTCTAAGGGAGAAGACACACATGCTAAAGCTGCAGGCAAGTTCAGGCTTCTGCGCTGGTCACAGCCCCAGGAAGGAGGGACAGGGTGAGGGAGAGAGAGGTGTGGCCCTCATCAGGTCATTAAAACGTTAAAAGTGGCCTGCCAACCCAAATACTTGCCCACCCCTGCACTAGTCCATTTCCTGCCAGAGTAGCTCATTGCTCAAGGTAAGCCTGCTCCTTCACCACCATCGGCCAGGTACTGTAACTGCATCTACTGCAGCCAGCCAGCCTGGGACAGCAGGTCATGCACTGCTTCTTTCTATGGAGTAACTTAGTGATTACCTATTAAAATCCAAGGTAACCATGTTGTGTGTCCACATCTGCAGAAGAGAAGACTGAGAAGGCATTTGATAGCAGCCTTTAACCACCTGAAGTGAGGCTCCAAAGAGGATGGAGCTGGACTGTTCTCGGTGGTGACAGATGACAGAACAAGGAGCCATGGTCTCAAGTTGCAGCAAAGGACATTTAATTTGGATATTAGGAAAAACTGTCTCACCAGGAGGGTATTAAAGCACTAGAACAGGTTACCTAGAGAGGTGGTGAACTCTCCATCCTTGGAGGTTTTTAAGGACCAGCTTGATGATGCTCTGGCTGGGATGATCTAGTTGAGGATGGTCCTGCTTTGAGCATGGGGTTGGACTAGATGGCCTCCTGAGTTCCCTTCCAACCCTCATTTTCTATGAATCTGTGATCAGTGGTCTAGAAAGAGTCTACATCAATATTGCATGCGTGTTTGACAGAGGGAACCAGAAAAAGTTATATTTGTTCTACACTTACCTTTTGGTTTTACCCAATGTCTATCTAGGTTAAAAGACAGGAGTATTATGAATGTGTGAAGGCCTCCATGAGTCCGTAAGTTTTGTAGGCAGCAGAAGAAGAACTTCTTAGCAAAGAGTTCTGTTCCTGCTTACAGAAGAGATAGTAATGTTTGAGCTGAGCTGAGGTATATTTGTTTTTATCTCAGTGGTCAAAACTGGCAGACTGTAAATGAAATATGCTGCAAAATACATCGTTACCACAATGCATCCTTCACAGTCCATTTCCCCCAAAAAAGAGGCAAGTTAGGTGTACTCCTAGATCTGTCCCTCTTCAAGATGGAGACTGTAAGGATTAGAAAAGACCCCTCAGAGAACAATTTGTTACAGAAAATTCAGTTCTGAGTTGCACTGGTGAAAATTAGGTGTAATGCCAACAAGTCATCAGAATTGCACCAATGGCACAGAGTCTAATCTGGTTTTAATGTGAAACAAGTGTCACAGGGGTTTGGGTTGTAGCCGTGTTGGTCTAAGGACATAGGCAGACAAGGTTCCTTGGGTGAATTTGATATCTTTTATTAGACCAACCCAAATGGTTGGAGAATAGTTATTAAGCAAGCTTTCGGGTTCAAAAACCCTTCGTCAGGCTCAGGAAGCTGCAGCAGTTGGTGTGTGCTCTTCCTGGATGGAATGAAAAGTAAAGAAGCCAGGGGCTGGGCTGGGCTGGGGAGTCAGTTGCCAGGCAGATTATAATGTATCAAAAATCCAATGTCTACGTTTAGTCCATGATCTCTATCTAGTATCCAGCAGGTTGATGAAATGGAGCTCATAGGCTCGTCTCTGGGAAGTGTTGTGTAAGTTTCCCTTGAGGATCAGGACTGAGAGATTGGAGAGAGAGTGGCCCTCCTGTGAGAAATGTGCCCCCACCGGTAATTGGGTATTTCCATCTTTGATGGATTTCCGGTGTGCGTTCATTCTGGTGTGCAGTTGTTGTTTGGTCTCTCCTACATATCTTCCATCAGGGCATTTGGTGCATTGGATGAGGTATATTACATGTCTGGAGGTGCAGCTGTAAGATCCTGGGATGCTGACGGCTCTGTTGTGGGGTGTAGTAATAGTGGGGGTGGTGGAGATGTATTGGCAGGTTTTGCATTTCTTGTCCTGGCACGGTCTGGATCCTTTTGGTGTGTTCTGGGCTCGAAGAAGTTTGCTTCTGGTGATGAGGTTGGCTTTCCGTACAGGTTCAAGGGATGGGTGATACGTCATAACCAGCGGTGTGCGATTTGTGGGGGGTTTTCTTCTGTACTGCAGCAGTTCTTCACATGGTATCCGGGTGGCTCTTTCAAACGTGCGATCTACCTCTCTGGACGAGTGTCCTTGCTGGGTGAAAGCCTTAAGATTGGTGAGGTGGCGATCCCGGGCATTCTCTTCAGTACAGATGTGGTGGTATCTGAGGGCTTGGCTATATATCACAGGTTTTTTGGTGTGTTTCGGGTGATTGCTGGTTCTGTGCAGATATGTATGTTGGTCTGTGGGTTTCTTATATACTGTGGTCTGTATTTTACCCTTCTGGATACTGATCCTTGTGTCTAAAAAGGAGATGTTGGTGCTGGAGTATTCTAGAGAAAGTCAGATGGAGGGATGGTGACTGTTGAATTTCTGGTGGAACTCAATCAGAGATTGCAGGTTCTCAGTCCAAATGATGAAGATGTCATCGATGTATCGTAAGTATAGCAAGGGTTTGATGGTGCAGTTCTTGAGGAAGTCTTCTTCCAGGTGGCTCATAAAAAGGTTGGCATACTGTGGGGCCATTTTAGTGCCCATAGCTGTTCCCATCATCTGGAGGAAGTGTTGATTATTAAAAGTGAAATTGTTGTGTGTGAGGATGAAGTGTATAAGGTCAGTAATATCTTTGGGTCTGTATTCTGGGTTGTAATCTGTCACCACTTTTGTTCCAGAGTATTTTACTTTAAATATAAAATGGCTGCTACATAACTAAGAAACTAGAGTGAAATTGTGTAATATCAAGACTTTAAAAACATTTTGATGGTTTTAGTTGCATCTGACCTATGAGCTGGTTAAGTAATATTCAGTTCACATTCTGCATCATTTGATTTGGACATTTCTGCCTCAAATAGTAGTTTGAAGTCAGCGGTCATTGGATAAAATGAAAGAGGCTGCTTTTAAACACCAGAGCTGTTAATTCAAGCATAATTGCACATGCATTTCAGCTTTTTATTCTATAAAAATAGCTTCTTTACAATGATTCACACTGTCATCACAAATACACTTACCTACAAAAAACCAAATCAGACAAGAACATTTCTCTTTCAACCTCTGTCTGATTCACATGGATGTCTGACACTAGCCAGAGAATTTACCATTGTCATTGTAAATGAAATAGCTATATGTGAAAGCCAGTATTGTAATTTAAAAAATCTTCTGTCCTATGAAGCTGTAGTCATCTAGCTGCAGTGTGCAGTGGATGAAAGGTCTGGCATTCAAATTGCCTGAAGCCAACACCACTGCTGAATGGTAAATCACTGAATGCATTTAAGGGGCAAGGTCAAGGAGATGACTGTGATCACATTTCTTTATAGATGATTGCAGTAGGAAACAAATAGGATGATTCATTCCAAAATATAAATAGTCCTAAGCCCTCCAACAGCCCAGTTCTCCAAGGCCTTGATATTAGTAAGATTAGAGAGGACTCTTAAGAGAGGTGCTCAGCAACTCCCACAATTAGGTCCCAATTTCTTAGCTTAGTGTTCACTGGCTGTGGAGAGGATTCATTCGCGGTATGTGCAGCATTCCAAGTACAAAAGGAGAACAGCAGAATCACCTACACAGCTCTGATACAGAGATTGGATACTACAACTTAATAAGAGACATTTTCTATCTAATATATATTTCAAAAGCTGCTAGTGAGTCAGCTCAAGGCTCACAAATACACAGTGCGATGAGTCACTCTGGGTTTTCATTGTTTGGTCAGGTCATCTTTGGTGCAGATCTGCCCCTTAACTCTGACAAAGATCTTATGACTATACTATGTGGGTTTGCTGTTTGGGCAGGATTTGTCAGTCTGTCGTTTACTGGAACAATAAAAGAATATCAGTATCAATTAGTTCACTTAACCGTGTCATTTCCACAGAGGCTGAGACTTATCTTCTAATCCTCCAGTCATCCCTCTGCCCTTCTTTAGCTTCTCTGGTTTAGGGAAGTCTCTCCTACGAAGAATTAAAAAATCTCCTTCAAGTTTGGCTTTATCAAGGCACTGTAAAGAAGTATTATTACCTCACCAATTCAATAAGTGAGATATATACCACGCATTCATATGATAGCACACCCTTGAATGAAAGCTGAGTAAAAAATTATACAGAATTGTTGGATTTTATTTTAACAGTAATATATAACAGCAAGGGCCAACTTTTCAGCAGTTGCTTCTAAATTTGCATCCATACATTTGTCTGTGCAAATAAGCATTTGCTCATGTAACCTGGATTCTGTGACTGAATTCCAATATTTTCCATTGCATGCACAAATATACAGGTATGAATAGTTTGGGAACGGCTGAAAACCTAGTACTGGAAAGCCTGCCCTGACCCTTCCCTCCCTCCCAGCTCCCACAGCAGAGACCCCAGCCCCACGGACCCTAGGCATGTGGTATGCTAGCTAATGAAGATGTGTATGCGTCTCCAGTTTCACTGGGACAGGCAGACAGAACACGGACCACTTAGGGCTTTTTGGAGCTAATCAACAGGTCAGGTGGTAAGGTGTTTAAGAAGAGTTTGCCGTAATGGAGAAAGACTATTGTTTTGCTGATCAGATGATAAACACTGTTATCAGCTCCCTGCTGGCTTGGGAGCTACCTGTCAGTTTGCTGAAGACAGTATAAAGAAGCAGGGAGGGAGATTGTAAAGCTCCATATCATCAACAGATGCATGCACTACACCCCTCACCCCTTGCCTCAGAGTGCTTAGCAGGGGGCTGGGGGCTGGCAACACTCCCACCCCTTGAGCAGCAAGCGAAAAAAGCCTGGGATGGTGCAAGCAGACCTCCCTAATCAGAGGTCCTGCCAGGGCCTGGCCACACCCCCTCAGCTCAGTGTTGTGTAAGGGAAGGGAGAGCTGCTCTAGCGCCCCCCAGCTTCTAGCCTGAGCCACTGCAGGCATGTGCCTGAATTTCCTCAGTCCAGAGAGAACATCTGTGCGGTTACAAACCAGTTCAGCCTAGCCAGGTTAGACTAACCTGCAAAGATTGAATCAATTCAGACTCAGGATTTTTTAATGTCTGTCCCTAGCCTAGGTGAACAAATGTACCTACCTATGCCTCATTACAAGTTACTTTTATTGTCTCAAGACATAGTGGTTATATAATCAGGCTGAAACTGTAAAGAAGCTCCCAGATAACTGGCTGTTTTATCTAATCTACCTTAGATTTTATATGAGACTCAGCCCTATAATGCAGGATTAGAAATTGCATCCTAGGAAACCTCATTTCCTTTACATCTATATGGCTGTGTCTACTGTTCTAAACAAGTCTTTCCACAATTTCAGAGAGAAGTTTCATAGAATCATAGAAAATTAGGGTTGGCAGGGACCTCAGAAGGTCATCTAGTCAAATCCCATGCTCAAAGCAGGACCATCCCTGGCCATGACTTTTATGGCCAAAGTTTTCTAAGCATCAGGGTCAGGTTTTCAAAGCAGTTCACACTACTGGCTACATGTCCGCTGTTCAGCAATAATTAAAATTTTTCACATCATAACTGTTTCCAAAAGAATGCAGAAACATTATTAACAGCAGAAATTAGAACCAAGGAGTGATTTCACTCAAGATTTATTTGTTCTACATTGTTGTTTTCTTGCAGCCAGCCCATCAATGACAGTCTCCACTGATATAGTGATCCACATCTTGGATGTCAACGACAACCCTCCATATCTAGTAGGAGACTACTCTGCCTCATATCTCTGCACACCGCAGAGGGAAAAGCAGTCCATCATTATCAGTGCATTTGACCAGGATGGGGCAGAAAATAGCATTCCTTTTAGTTTTTCACTTGCCAATGACCCAACGCATCAGAGAAACTGGAGGATCAACATAATTAATGGTATGTATGTAAATCTAGGCTTCATTATGGAAAATGGTAGCTTTTCCATAGCTGGGGAAAAAACAGCTTCCATTAGACAGTAGCATTTTAGTTTCCACCTAAAATTAGCTTAGAAATCTACTTGATCTAAGAATTCCCTAAATGACTGTCATGGACAAGGAAAATATGTCTGCAAAGTAGAAATGACAGCTAATAAACTGTTTTTGAATTTCATGTCCCTAAAAGTTATACTTTTTTTAAATTTGAATTTTGCCCCTCCTTTTTTTGTTCTACTTTATAATTACCTGAGATATCCTTGAAAATTCATGTAGCACCCTTGAAGGAAAGTATAACTCAGCCAAGTTATTAAACATTCTTTGTTATGGATGGCTTGACACTCCAACTTTTGATTGGAAGTTATTGCCCTGGCTGCTGCCCTTAATAATGCACTGGGAGTTTTGCCATTGGCTTCAGCTGCAGTCGGCACGACTCCTTTACATCTGTGTGTGAGAATACTACCTACCACTGACTGATTTCAGACTAAACAGGAGAAAAGGATTTTTTTTTTTTTAATATCTGACTGCTAACAAACTCTTTCTTTAGATCAAATGGTAGAGGTATTTTTTGCAGCTGGAAGACCAGCATTCCTGGTGTACAGGTATTTCATTAGGGATAAAATTAATATTGCAAACACAATCCCATGAGCAAGCTGAATGTGATCTCTCTGTAATTTTCAAAAAGATAAAATACTCATACTTTCCAGTATTGTAGGTTAAGTCTTAATGATAACTCAAATGGTTTATGCCAATGCTGATTAAACTTAGTCAGTACTTGGAAAACGGCTCATGTCCGTCTTTATCTAACTACACAATTGAAGTACATTACACAAAACATCTGAAACATGAATAAATCTTTTCACCTAGGTTCACACAAATGGTAATGCTGAAGCATAGAAATAGCAGTGTTTAAGAAATTGTCATTATTTGAAAATCAGATGCTGCTTCTTTGACAATGAAGCTTGTGGAAAAGGAAATCATGACAACAGAGAACATTTTATCTTTGATCTCCAAACTAATTCTACCTCTGGTTAATTTTCAAACAAGTTAAAAGAAGCTCTCACATCTGATAAAATGACCCTTTTCCGGTGGGTCCTCTAAGGACTGTGCTATTGCTAATTAATGTTACATAGAAGAGGCTCAGACATTAGATACTGACAAGCAGGGACACAGGTGGGTCAGCAATATCAAATTTGTTACTTTCTGTATATTACTGTTTTCTTTCAAAGGATATAATTAATGGGAAATATTAATACAGTTGACAATTGACAACAAAACCTTTCCATGAAGTACTATGGTCAACATCTTCACTCCCACTCTGATGTTTTTACTGCTCCTATTTCACCTTTGTGCCAGGTGAAATAGAAGGAGCAGTAAAAACATATCCTGGCTTTGGCTGGGGGAAATTCTCCCAAGGAAGACACAGTAAGAGACAGTAGAAGGTGGCCTCCCAGGGTTCCTCCTGCAAGATCCAGACTAGGAGGTAAGTGAGACAGTGATCATCACTGGGTACACAGAGCTGGAGAGATTCTAGGCAGTACCGTGGCCCACGCTGCAGGAACGCATCAGGGGGACTTCCCCTGCCTCCCCCAGTGCAGACTGCAGGGGTACAGTGGTGACTTAAAGCTACCATTGGCTCCTTTCCACGGGGCTAAGGTAAAGTACTGCGCAAGCATGCAGAAACCAGCAAACAGTACCTTACCTTATCCATAATATTTGTTTGTTAAATGGGCCATATTAGATTACTAGTTTCCTTAACTACACCTTCTTTTTCATGCTTAGGCTTTGCAGGTAATGCAATAGGTAACTCTGTTATCACATGCCAACCTTCCTTGGATTTCATAAGAAAGATTTTAGGGTTTCTGTCTTCTACAGCCTAAGGTGCCAAATGTTTCCTGCCTTCACACACAGCACCCTGCAGGTAACAGACCCTCAGTCAGCAACATGACCAGTTATTTTGTCTTAGAATTAGTTTCACAAAAGATTTTTTGTATTGCATGGTAGCCACTTGAATGATGACTGAATATTTTCCGTGGAAAATGAGAGGGGGGATGAGTGAAGTTGTTTGATTGTTTGCATTCTTTCTCCAAAAGGGATTCTTTTGCACACAAATGCACAAAATGCTCGCCTGTGACATTAGTCCTTCCTTTTCATTTTTCATATTCTTTTTGACAGATACTCATGCTTATCTCATCATGGGAATTAGCTGGTTGGAACCCAAATTGCATCTTGTTCCTATTATCCTGAAAGATAGTGGAATTCCATCTCAAACCCAACATGTTCACCTACCAGGTAAGAAGTAGGTGTTTCCTACTGCCACCATTTCAGTAACAGTGTGGAGAAGGTTCTTACAGCTACCCTCTTATACAGACCAAAAAGTAGAAGATGAATGTGCAACTGTTCTTGCTTTAAATCATGATCTCTCTTCCTGGTCTCTACCCTCCTCCCATGTGGCCCCAGTAACATAGGCCATGTAATAGTATAGCCCTAAAAAGCACTCGCTATTTTTTTCTGTTTCCATTTGCTTTTATAAGCTGGCATTTGATTCCATTTGAGATATTCTCATTATATAGAGCGTCTCAAAAAACATACACATACTTCAGTCATCAGGACTACAGAGACATATTGGCCGATAGTACCAGTTTCAATACCATTTCCAAACTTTCTTCTACTGATCAAACAACGGGCACACCTCCCCCATACTAATAATCAGACTGAGGGCAGGGAGCTGACTGTGCTTCTGTCAATACATCTGTCTTCCTAGTGACTAAACCAAGCATGAATTTTTTAAATACCTGGTAGGTCACCGTAAAGCACTCCTAGCACCAGGTTAGGGCTTTCTTTTTAAAATAAAAAAAGAAGATGGTAAACACAGGACATGGAAAACCCAATGTCCCTCTCTGGACTAGTCTTGGAGTAAAGTCTAGAAAGAGGGCTAAATAATTCCAGTTGCCCTCTCACCAGCACCCCAGGAAGGATAGAAGGTATAAGAAGCCTCTCCACCCAGCTTACTGCTGCAGGACTTGGACAACGCAGACCTAATATTTGGGCAATGTGGGGCACGTTAATATACCAAGAACCATGG